AAGATAAGAATGAATAAGTTCTCGGCAAACTCACGAATAAGGCGAGGATCCATCAGCATTCGCTCAGGAATGGGGCCACGTGGACGTTGAATAATATGTAGTTAAATAGCAGGTAGATGCCAAACCGCCGCCATATAGAGCCGATCGCATTCGAATGAGATCGTGATAAGATGAGGCAAGGGAAGGTACTAAGTAACCCACTTCTGGTGGAGCATCCTCCATATTTGGTCGCTAAGTGTTGACGGGTAAAGTGTATTGTACTTCACCCGACGTTGTCAAAGGGCATGCCGCTTAAGGACCTACGCTCGGTATTGGGCGACGCCAGACGTAATTAGCGAAATAATATCACGAGACTCAACATTTTCACGAGAAACTACGAGTCATATGCGAATACTGGCACATCCGACTCGCGACTGCAATAAAGAGAACGAACTCGAATGCTTGCCCGCTCTACCATAATTACCAGCCGGGTTATAAGGGCAAATCTCGTGAGGAACGCCTTTCATTTTGGGGAATGCAAAGTTGGCGTCCGGTCTGTTTCTCACCTCACTAGTGGCTCATGAGCTTCAGAAGGAAGAATATGACGCATGCGAACCTATGTGGTTCAGCCACTCGGGAACCGGAGGTCTCGGAATCAGGACGGTCCACGCAATAATTGAATGTCTTTGAAATTCAGGCCCATCGGGCCCATAGATAGTGGTCCACCAGAGAAAAAAAGAAATGCACAATACATTCTCAGACGTCTGATCTATCAAAGCTGCACTAACATTTTCACCTTTACCCGGAAACAATTTAAAGTGTAAGCTCACTAAGATGCCCAAGGGGACACCTGAACCTTTCTTGCCGCATTAACCAGGACTAATAGAGGCCTCTTACTCAATATTCGCGGCGAAAATAACCGCTTTTCTCTTCATCTTTAACACTGTCCATTAAGGTATACTTAGGCCTTTGTTCTATTCACGGAAGCTTCCATCCTTGTTAGCATTAGACTTCTAGGCAGCTGCTACAAAAAAACTTTAGACAGTGTCTACCGTATCCCGCTGACTAAGAGCTCATCTGGCGAAGGAATGCTTAAAAAAATTTAGGGAATGCTAGAATTCTTAGATTTTCAGATGAATTAGGAAAGAAAAGGGGAAGTTATGTGACCACCTGGGCATGATTACGGTAGATGTTGACCGGAGTCGATCGCACGCGAGGCTTTTTTTCTGTGCGCTGAAACCGCAGCTGTCAGCAAGGCACGAGCGGGCCCTCTCGGGCCTGTCAAACAAGAAGTTAAAGCGCACCGAAAATCTGACCTGCTACCTACTCACCTACTGCGCGAGCACCTTTCAGCGAGGGTGGAACCACTCGCTGCTACCAGTAAGCTAACGTCGCGCGTGGGAAGGTGCGTTCAATGTGCTTGATTTCAACCGTAAGGAGTACTAATTTTATCTGCCATTCAACCACAAGACAATAATACCAGAGTTCACAATAAACGTAAGGCAACGAAAATAAAGGCGCTTTGACGAAGGGCAAATAACGGCAAAGTCCGACAAAAGGAGTACAGCACGCAAAAGGACATAAATTTGTACGAACAGGAGAAGGACTATGACGTTTAAAGGAGATCATACGTTGAACTGCCATACAGGTGAGCAGGGCCTCGCCCCGAGTGGAGGACTGAGCCGCTCTCCAGTCCATTGTCCGGTCGACTCCTCGCTTGCCTCCTACGCCGCTTCATCACGCCTCCTGAAAACATGCTTACTTCGTCACCCTTACTCGCCGCCGCCATGAGGCGCGGCTACTGGAGTTTCAGTTTAGGAAAGGCACGTAATCGACGTTTAGGGAGAATGCGCGCCAAATAGTATTCCAAGATTCTCCTTTTCTACAGATTTCCACTTCGACTATTTTTTCCAAACGCTATCGGCCAGGAGAGACGTGCAACGGAATCGTCCGGGGCAGCGCTCGCGGCACGCCGCGCGTCGCGCGAATGACGCAGCAGCTCACGGAAGTGCATTTGCTAGACGATAGCTTTGCCACTAGAGCAACTGATCCACTACAGCGTACATCAAACGTTAACGTTTGCCAGATTCCATCGATTATCGAAAATCTAACAAAGTTTCTCGTGATAGTAACACACAATTGTCTGGCAGATCTATTGACGCAGCTTCAAGAAATAAACAAAAAAAGAAAACAAGTAAGGCTGTTGTTTTCATTATGTTTACGTGATTCACATGATTCGCGCAGTCGTCAGCGTCAACATTTGATAGTTGAATGGTCAAGTTTTCCTGTGAGCTGCTGTAAAAAATGACAACCAGAGCAAAGGTTAAAACCCTGATGAAATTCATGCTCTCATGAACTTTTCCATTCTCTGTGGAAAAACGAAGAAAAAACTAAAAACTCAACCTTAACTGAACGCAAGAATCCATCCTGAGCGACATCAATCTTCACCGTCCGTTCAATATCCCTATACAACGCGCCAACGCAATGATTTGTCTATCTCGCCGTAAGGCGCGTTCATACATGGTGCAGTAACTGCGGAATATGCAGGAACTGCGAATTTGCGAACGTGTGGAATTTGAAGAACCGCGGAATTTGCCGACATGCAGAATTGACGGAAAGAAGTGATAGGGATCGATTGTTCTTCCTTTGCCGTCGTGGGGAATTTGCCGACATGCAGAATCTGCAGATTCCGCATGACGGACGATTCGTCCCTATCACATCTTTGTCGTCGCTTTCTGCATGTCGGCAAATTCCGCGGAATTTGCCGACATGCAGAGTCTGCAGATTCCGCACTTCGGCAAATTCCACACGAAACGGCAAAGGAAGAACAATCGATCCCTATCACTTTCTTTGTCCGTCAATTCTGCATGTCGGCAAATTCGCGGAATTTGCCGACATGCAGAATTCAGATCGATACGTATATATTTACTTTCTGCAAATTCCGCAGTTCTGCATATTCCGCATGTCTGCATCTTGTATGAACGCGGCCTAAGGATGTCGCAGACCACGCCCACCAGCTGCACCGGACGATTCTTTGCTACACACCCGTCGGCCAGTGCCAATGGATACCTGCCCTCTTCTTTTTTCTCATTCTCCGAAATCTCCTCAAACGCCGGATCGATGCCTATGTTTTCGTGGTTGCGCATTCTCCCATTCTCCTCCTACTTCCCATCGCAGAGCCTTAATGCTGCCTAAAATTTAAAGTTCTGAAACAAAATCTGTTTTCTATTACTGGTAAGCGACCAGCAGAGAACATGCTTAATTCCACGTATTTACATTCTTTGCAGGACTGAGCTTTTCTTTCTTCTTCTTTCGAATGATTATTGTGTAAAGTAAAAGGTGTTGCCGTAGTTAGGAGGCCACAGGCCGGCGAAATCTCATCTATTCCTCCGATCTGGGCTCAGACTTACTGGAGACCGAGTCTTTTCTGTGGGACTGTCCTGGCGACTCGGCTCATTTGCTCTCTGAGCTCAAGGTAATGTTCAGACTTCGCGACTATGCTCGCCGACGCGCCAAGGTCCATTGCAACCGCCTTAGACGGATATCAGTGCGAGGTGTCAGGTAATGCGTTACGAGAATTTAGAAGAGGAGGAGTGTTTCAGGTCGTATGATCAGGCCCACCATCCTATTTTCCCACAGTCCCCCAAATAACAGTAAAAGCCGGCGCCGATTCCATCTATATCAGAAAAGCGCCATTGCAACGGTAGCGCGTGGACGCGCGCTACGCGTCAGTGCGCGTCCATCGCGAAGTTTGAACCTTATTACGTCTTTCTGTATAAGAGACTAGAAGGCCGGTGCAGTCGTTTCCCTACTTCTTTCTGTATAAGAGACTAGAAGGCCGGTGCAGTCGTTTCCCTACTATGTTAGGGGTATGAGAGAATCGTAATTCACCGGACTGGTGGGCGTCGCGTGCGGCGTCGCGCCTGCGGATGACGATGGCTCTATGTGGTAGGTGGCGACAACAGGCAATCCAGAACCGCAAATAGTCATGAATGTCCACGGTCGGGGTTACATGAGGTCCGGTGCAGCAATCGACGTTTAACACGAGTTAAGAAAACGCCGCGCCCGACGGAGCGACAAATTTGGATTCTCTTGCCCGTCTCCCCTACATTAGCGCCAGTGAGATGCACGCCCGCACTCATACCCTGCGGCCAGGGTACAGTATCGTTGTGAAAAACATAGAGGGGGGGGTCGTACTTTTTCTCTGGGGATGGGAGGGGTCGTATTTGCTCATTGGGGGAGGGGGGAGATCGTATGTGCCATTGAGAGCAACTTGCTACGTTGGGAAAAAATTTTTATTGGTCGTTGACTTTTCGCGTGATTCCCCCTCCCCCCCCCCTACTCCCCCGTCCACTCGACGGGAAATTCCACTCAACGGAAAATATTTGGGTGAAGTAGTGGACTGGAAAATGAGGAAGTTGGAAGGTAGGTGTCGAGGAAGGGGGTTCGTACCGAGACCCTCATTTAGGTGGGGGGGGGGGGTCGTACTGACACCGTCTGTCAGAGGGGGGAGGGTCGTACCTGCACCCGTTCGAGAATGCGCGCCAAAGAAATAGAATCGACGGGCGCGCGCATTCTCCAATCGTATTCTTCTGATCGATATCTGTGCTTTCTATTGCGCGTATTTCCACGACTTGAACGATCTCCTAACCTCCGATTCTTCAATGTCGCAGGGTATGAATGCGGTCAAAACAATATTATTGACACACCTAGTTACCAGTCGTTGGAAGACAACTCAGGCCCACCCTGTTCCTGTTTCTCTGTCGCGAACTGTCTCCTTTTCCGTTCCGGTCACTTATTATTACGATCGCCTCACGGCTGAATATCGGAGAATAGTCTTGAAGTCTTACCTTTTCTCCTTTCATAGTTGTTATAACTTCCCATTTGACTTTATTTCGTGCATGCTGCGCACTGCATGCACAGCTATTTGAGCATAACTAGCTCTACATGTGTAAAATAGATTACAGTATTGTGGAAACAGACCGGCCCATCTTACTGCCTCAGACCTAAACTCAACGATCATGAAAGGAGGTGGATTGGGAAGGCCGCCACCCGATGCTGGAATCCCCTACGACATGAAAACTCTTCTCAATGCATTCCGAGAGAAAAAGTCCTTGAGGTTCGTTCTGTTCTACCACTTCTTTTTCTTTTCAAAAGCTTTATTGAATTATGTTGCTAAACTACTGTGGGACCACAAGCGTCTATAGGACTTTGTTTTCGGAATATAACAATCGGTTCATTTACAAAGACACTTTCTATGGCGACGGTCTCATGTCGTAGCACACTTAATCACGTCAGCGGAAACATTCCGTTGCGCTGAGGTATGTAGATAAGAGGGAATCATTCAGTAGCGTCTTCATTTCTGTCATCCTAATTGAAGCTTAGGCAGCGTTAAGACTTCGCGACGACAGCGCCTAGGTCGTGGGTTCGGGGCGATCGATGCGCATCTTTCGACTATGTCGGATCGCGTCGAACGCGCTACCGAAGCGCTGCCGTCGCGAAGTACTAGCCGCTGCCTAGACTGGTGGGGCGCTAAATTACGAGGTAGCGCCAGCACCATTACTACCCTTGTTCCAAGACTTAGGCAATACTTTACGTGAAGCGCAGACGATGAAAAGTCACACACGGTTTAGTCTCGCCAGAGGACTCGCACTGCACATGGCCTCGTTCAGCTTCACGTTGGTGGCGTTCAGACTTGTGCATTGACATCTGCAAAGCGTACGCACGCTAGTCGATCATCGCTAGTCGCTTGTGTTTCGAGAAAGTTTAGGATAACAAGAGGCTGCCTTTCTTACAGTTTGATACTTTCTTCGTTTTTCTAGCAATTCATACTCCTATACCTCCTCGCTCCGCACTACCTCAATGCACAGTGGCCGGCGCCAACTTGACTCGCGACCGCCCGATCTACGGCATTGCAGCGCGTCGACGCGAAGTCTGTACGCTGCCTTAGCACCCTTGAAGGCGGCTATGTTTCTCTTCAAAACCAGCCCTCAGAGGCTATAGTCGTCTCCCCATAATGTCTAAGCCTTAATTAGGGGAACGAACTGGGGACGCGACCAAGTGGTTTCTCCCGCTTCCCCCCCCCCCTCCCCGTGCCCTGGCGTGTCACAGCATGTCAGTAACAAGAAATCATCTCTTCTGCGTCAAATATGTTCCTTCGACGCACTCCTTCAATTCTTTCGAATTTGGACGGCAAGTGAAACAGGACGGGTTCAGAATTTTCGCGTATGCTTTTTGCCTAAAAATAACGTCTGTTCAAATAATGTCCACATATGAGATGATTGCGGCTCCGTAGTACCGTAGCGCCTAAATTAATTCTCTAGAACCTTTCGAACCGTGAATGATCACCGCTGTTGACATCCTTTTTGAATGCTCTTTTTGAGGTGTGAATGTTTAGAGGACAGATTTTGTACTTTTGGGTAGCACCTATGTTCAGATGACTGCTTATAGGCTGACTGAATTCTACGAAGTGGCAGTCAATTATGGCCTGAAAGATATCTATGCCGGACGAATGAGTGTTGCTGATCTTGTTGGGGTAATACTAGAGTTTCTTTTAAGTGATTAGTTTACCTTGTGAACTGTTCACTATTGATTGTTTGCCTATAAGCTTCTATTGCTGTCTTTTTTTGCAGTTCGAGGAATGTTTACTTAATGCAGCAGTTGCATACATGCGACCGCGGAGAGAGTATCCAAATGGACTTGGAGAGGAGCATACTATACTGGTACGAACTCTTAAAATCTGTAGCTATAAATTTGTAGTCCCACCGTAATACGGTCGTCACGGAACTTCTGCGGCGATCCTGTATGTTATTCTGTGTGATTTTTTCCTCTGTTTGGCAACGGCCTTTTTTATTATCCATTCGCTTTCAGGAGCGTATTTTCGGGATTTACGCGACGTTTGTACTCTACTATGCTCAACCAGTTGACTACGTATCCAAAGTATGTTATAGGACAGATATATATCCGCTAAAGGCGCGCTCATACCGCGCCGCCCTGCGGCTGGTTCATTTGGCGAGGTCGAAATGTGTGAAATGGCATTGTCAGTACGGCCCATCATAATTTTCGTATCTGTTACAATCACCTCTCTCCTTATCTACAATCTTATTTTTCCCCAGCTTACTACCACTTTTTCCATTTTTTCCCAAACTTGCCATCTGCTTTACCCGCTCGCTGAGATCGTGCGATTGAATAACGAAGTATGAACGCGGCATAAGCCTGTGTGTGTTATGTTGGTGTGGGTGAAAAGCGGATGTGTGATGACTTTCATAGCGGCGGCAGTAAGAACGGGAGTGAGTGGCATCTTTTGTAAGGAGTGATATATGGAATGCGAGGAGGACATTTTTAATGAGTGACGCGAGTAATAAGTGATAACAACTAGTGAGACCTAGTAAGGGGTATGAGAGAGGGTTGGTCACCAAAATCACAGG